ACAGGACAGTGCATATTAATAACAGTAGCCTACATCTGTAACATGTCAGAATTAGCCAAAGGCTAGTTTTCATCTGGAGTCCTGGTGTCCAGTTGTACCGTGGCACCGTAGRAAAACATAAAATATTAAACAATAAAATCATCAACAATTTAAGAACAGCAAATGTAAGGCAGTTTAGATTCATTACAAAAGAAACAACATTAACGTCAAAAACAGTGTAATACAAATAAAAGTAGTTCAGGAAAAAAAACTGCAACAGCAAAACATTTAGTAAGAGTAAAATCAGCAAATATCAAGCAAAATGAAACAGATTGAGACACTGAATAAAAGCATTATTATTATTATTATTATTATTATTATTATTATTTGTTACAAATGATATTTTCTAAGTTGAATAAATTACCTGTTTACAGTTACTAATGCACAAGTGTCAAACCGACTATTCTCAAAGTTTAAATGTCACGCTGTCTAATTTATGTATTACCACTTTTCAAACTATTTAGGATAAATATAAAATACTTAAAAAATTACATTAAATATATAACAGTGAAACATTACAAAGTAAAAGAAAAGACCTGGAAGTAAAAGCTGAATGTTAATGTTTAGATGTGAAACTGAAGTTTTTGTCACCGACAGGAGGTAAAGAAATGTCGTCATGTTTCAGATCTGGTTTTAGCTCCATCTGCTTTGTTTCTGCACAGGGATCTTGTAGTTTTACCTTCTGGCAGTGTGGGTTCAGTGAACGTGTTATTTTCTTTCACCCACTTCTGAGCTGGATGAAGTCATGACCTCTTTACTGCTTTATTATACAAACGAACCTGTAACAATACTCAACACTGTCTCACAATCATCACTTTCAACTTTATAAGACTTGATAAATAAAAACATGACAAAACTGCTTCAGTCTGGTGCTTTTTATTATCTCTGATGCTTTGGGGTTGCTTTAAAATAAAAAAAACATAAAACATTTTAAATAACATGGCACATTTTGTTCTCTCGTTACAGTGTTTCCATGYTGTCACACATTCAGTAATCGGTGCGCTGTAGCTCTGTCCTTAAACTCRTGTTGTAAAAACCTCGTTGTGAACTCAGGTGTTGATAAAACAACTCAAATGATCTGATCCTGCAGCTGAGACTGAAGATCACCTCCTTCGTGTCTCACATTAAATTTATTTACATACATGAAATATTAATAATGTTTTAAAACTTATTTAACCTTTATTTGAGGTAATTACTGGTGTCTGGTTCTGTTTCAGACCCGTACTGAACACTGATGCAAAAGTTCCTGCTGGCTCCAAACGTTCAGCTTTAAACCGAGTTCAGTTAAAAAAAACATGTAAAAGAACAGATTTTTCCATTTGATGTTTTTGACACATTAAAGTGGGAAACTGAGCTAAAAACTGTTCATCACTGACGCTCTGTTCCWGTAGAAATTCATAAAGTTTGGAGGCAAACCACACGTCATGAGATCAGAAGAGSCTGATGTTTGTTTCAAACAGGTAGGGTTGGAAAAGTGACTGTTTTTTTTTTTAAAACGAGTACATTTCTGTGTAAATGGGACCAGCTATGGGCTGCCGTTTGTAAAGTTACACAGTCAAAAATTACCACAAATATTTTTGTTTTGTTTAGACTTTTATAAGAAAAAGAACAGATTTATTTTTCAGTCAGATTTTCACCATATGGTTCATACATTTATAAATGTCATAGTTTATAAACTAAATATTTAACTTACAAATTAAATATTTAGTTAACAAGCTAAATATTTAACTTGCAACTTAAATATTTAGTTTGCTAGCTAAATATTTAAGTTGCAAGTTAAATATTTAGC